TAGAATCTTTTTGTCATCTTTTAAACACACTTTTAATGCATTTTCTATATACTGACAATACACATGACATTTGTAAGAATCATAATTTCGAAGTCATGAGGATTTTTCTCATTGTTTAATCAAGAAATCATTAAGTGGACCCTGGTGGATGAGAGCCAAATTTTAATGGATCGTTAGTATGACCCCTCTCTACACCCCTACAACGTTTCACAAGAATTCATTCAAAACTTTTCAACCAATCATGTTTACAGACACAATAATATGCATGCAAACACTACCAAAAAACATAACCTCCAAGGAATACGGGTAAAGGTTTGCCTGCAAAACAACAAAATATATATATTATATATACATATATATAGGGAGAAAAAACACAAATACATATTTACTAAAGCCTGACTCTGATTTTTTTCCTTTGTTTGGAAATACCGGTGAGTACCAAAAAGAATATTTTGACTTCAAAGCGCTTTAATTCCACAGCGGTTCACCAGTAAAGATCCAAACACGTGAGAAATCTATTGCTTTAAAAATAACGCCTTTTGAGATTTGTTTGTACTAAATCTACACTGAGACAAAAGGTGGACGCAGAAGCCTGAGCAGTGTCGACACATTCTCGTCTCAGGCTGTTTAACTTTAACAGCCTCTGCTAATCAAACTGCAGGTCAGCCAAACGATGAAAAACCAAGTCAAAAAAGGTCCGGAGTGCAGATTTCAGTCCAAGCTGACAGCTAAAAGCAATGTAAGCGAGCCCCAGCTTTTGAGAGAATCTGACTTTGTTTCTTCTTTATTTTTTTTAAATGGTCAAAAAGGCGTTTCAGTCAGGCCACTTTAAATATGACTTAAACGTCTAATTATTAAAATATCTGCATTTTGGGGAGATTTCAGGTGCTAGGTGTAATTTTCCATTTATTCCTCTATGTTCAGATGGCTGAAATAGGATTGCCTGACACATTTGTGTGCGCTTGTAAAAATATCCCGGTGTAAAACAGACGTATGCGAGTGTGAAGTGATCAGCAGACGACGGGAGCCGGTATTTCCTTTCATTCCTTCTTTCACCCTTAAAATCATCCCCAGCTCCAGTTCTTTGTTTGGTCCTGTACAAGCAGGCCACATGTGGGCTGTTCATCAACGCCAAGATGTCTTTATCTAAAGCAAATTAAAACACTCTGGTTCATTTCAAAGGAAAGACCACTGACTGCCAACTCTGCTATGCCAAAGACAAGAAACAAGGGTGGGGTCCACCGGTATGAGCTATATACTGCCAAATGATTACACGCAAGAGTGCATACACACTCGGGCACACACATATACGCATACACACATCTCTAAACTCATCTTGATGACATGCACTCCAAATCTACCTCTCTAATTATTATACAAGAGGAAGACAATATTTCTTTAATCAAAGCTCTAATGCACACATGACTGACTCCATCCCGTGCTTCCACCATACCGCTAATCATGAGGAATGAAAGTAGAAGGAGGGTGGGATCTTTCAAAATGTTGGCCTCGTGTATAAAAACATTTGGTTGGTACATTTTGGGAAACGTTTCAAAAGAAAATATTAATAATAACGGCGTCATATTGTATTTCAAATCTTGTCAGTTTTAATCCCCTGAACCTCGCTCTAATTTCTGATTGGCTGCCCTGCAGTTGGTGGTTTTTAGCTTTAGCTAAACAGCACGTCCCACTCCGACTTAGTTTACAAAACAGGGAAAAGGCAATATATCTTTGAATGAATTTTAAAACATCAGTGTTTCCCCAACACTGCAGAAGAATGCAGGCATGAAGCAGAAGTTTAACCGGTTACTTTAAAGATGCACTAAAAACACTGGGAAAAAAAGTTTAGCTTAGCTTTGTGCTACTTTGCTCGGCGCCGCTGGGCAGCCAGTGATGAAGATACATTATGACCCAGATATTTACACGAACTACATCAGGGCTAAAAATGACTTCAGTGATATAAATCTCTTCGAAGCAAAACACAAAGGGTCCATTCAAACGTTGGGACTTTGTTTAATACGAGCGGCCAGAGACGGCAGACATCCTCCGAGGCTGAAAATTCCCTGGACACAGATGGACACGTGGATTTGGATTAGTTCCTGATATTTTTTTTTTGTTGATAAAACCGAGACACTTTCTCCCAGTTTTCTCATTTCAATGTGATATCTATTTATGTAGATAAACAAAAAACAACCAAAAAAAGAAGTAAGGTCGCAATGAGGAAACCCTGTCTGTTCATGTTAATCCTCCAGGAAGATTCACCAGCCATGACCGTCTTTTAGGGAAGGCTTTAGGCCCAGAAGCATCTTAGTACTGACTTTTCTTCAGCTATTTAAGTTAAGTTTCATTTTCCAGTTTTGCTCTGTATGTGATGCAAAATACACTTCCAAAGATTCCTGGCTCTAGATCAGGAACAACAAAAAAATAATTAAATAAAAAGAGAAATTGAACCAATCAATCACAAACTTTCCCGACAGAGGAGACAATAATTCAAGACAAAAAAAAAGGATGGAAAGCTTTACTTCTAATGCAGGAAAAAAAAATCTAGTTTCCAAAAACATTCACTTCACTTATAGCACTCAGCTGGTTTCAGGCAGTTAGAAGACTTTTTATAAAAAAAATATTTAAGCAGAAAACTTCATAAAGATGGAGATTTAATAAAAATCAACTAAAATCTGCAACCCTTCGCAAATAAAAAAAACTTTTTGATAAAATGCAACAAGCACATTTGAAAATATAATGACTTGGTATATACAGCATAAGGCCATCGCACAAGTGAGGCCTCACTTACACAGCTAAAGCCTAAAGAGACTAAAACAGGCGACTTTAATGTCACATGATGACATTTTCTACATAAGAAGATAAAGCTGCTGCTACCAGAGAGCTACGTGATTTTAAGAAGCTGACCTTAAAAAGCCTAAATCATGAGTGTGTACACGCCATCATGCCACGTATTCTTACTGAGCAGGGCGCAGGGTTCAGGGAACAGCTCTCCGTAGCGGTTGTTGAAGATGCGAGCAAGATCCTGAGCCAGCTCCAAATGTTGGACCTGATCTTCTCCGACAGGGACGTGAGTGGACCTGAGAGAGATGATTCCACAGCAGCACATTAGAGACGTGATCCGTGCAGCACTGTGCACAGTGACAGCACAGAGTTTAAAATGCAGAGCGAGACGCAAGGACAAATTGGAGACACTTTGAGTCACTGCAGGAGACTTTTTCAGCATGTGTTTGGCAACTCTGTGACTGGAGGAGGAAGCAGTTCATTAATTTTCTCTTTAGAGATGAGACTCAGTTTCTCCACAGGAAATGAGCTTTTGGATATATGGCTGCTGAACCAGAAACAGCTGAAGAGATGCCTTCTAAATGCGAATTTGGAAACGCTACAAAACAATAACCCAACCAACTTATCTCACGTGAAAACCCACTGACGCCTCATCAGCAGGCTGCACCTCACAGATCACACACAAAACTCTTTGTCTCAGACAAATTTCCACCAGAAATGTGTGACACTGATATTTATACGAACACGTCAGAGGCAAAGAAATTAGAGATTGCATTTTTTTCCTCTTTATAATCTCTACTGTGAGGTTTTATTTGGAGATATCTGCACGTTATGTTTCTCTTTCCACCCCCGCGCAGCAGAGGTGAGATATTAAAAAATAACACATTTTCACCAGCAGTCTTCGTTGCCAGACACACTGTCCCCGTTACTCGTGATAAATTACAGATCGCACTGTGAACACTTTGCACTGGAATTATGTTCTGCTGGAGAAATGGCCTCTGAGAGCAGGTGGCATGTGCTGTGGATTAAAAGGAAAATGGCCTCTGTAATAAAAATAAATAAAAATGAAAAAAAGATGCTGTGGAATTGATTTTCTGTGTTGTGAATAATGAGGGGAAAAAAGTATAAAACTTAGAGGCAGAGATTTCAAAAATAAAACCAAAAGTATCCAAAAATGTTGCTGTTCTTTTGTACTCCGGGTAAACCTCTCTGCTAAACAGTATTTTGTAGGCTTTGTGCAGGCAGGTGATGCCAAACTAGAGCTTGCAAAAATAAATCAAATAATAAAAATATTTAAACTAGGACACTGCTCGCGATCAGTTTAAGTTAGTAGGCTCACAGTGTTTGGTATTTGTTATGTGGATTACTGGCTCTGCTCCTTTTTCATTGCAGTTACTCTTTTAATTCACGCATTTCGTTCTTTCTTATGTTAGTGGAGGTGATTTTAGCTTCCAGGTTCATATTGAGCACACATTATGGACTGGAATGGAAAACATGGAAACTTCACTATCTTTGAATAAATGTAAAAACACCAGTGTTGTCCCAACACTGCAGAAGAATGCAAAGATGAAGCAGAAGTTTAACTGGTTACTTTAAAGATAAAAACACTGGGGAAAAGATTAGCTTAGCTTTTGCTACTTTGCTCGGCGCTGCTGGACAACCAGTGATGAAGATACATAATGACCCAGATATTTACACAAACTACATCAGGGTTTGATGCTAAAAACACAAACCTCTCTGAGGCAAAACACAAAGGGTCCGTTTAAAGTTTGGGACTTTGTTTGGGGTTTGTAAGCTGCAGTGGTTCTTAAATAGCACTTTTTAATTCTACTTTCTGCATGTCTCACTCACACGCGCATTTATGCAACAACCTTTTACTACATACAAGTGCTTTCTAGCAAACATTCACACACATTCACACTCAGATGAACGCAACGGGAGCAACTCAGCGTTCAGTATCTTGCAGTCTGGAGCAGATTGGAGCAGCCAGGCATCAAACCACCAACGTTCCGATCTGTAGATGACCTGCTCACTCCTTATATCTGGAACAAACTCCCAGAAAGCCTCAGATCAGCTGAAACACTCAGTTTATTTAAATCCAGGTTGAAGACTCACCTGTTCTCAGCTGCATTTGAATAAAGCACCAAATCCACACTTTTAAGCTTACATTTCAAAACTTACATTTAACTACTGATTTTATCTACTGTTCTGATTTTATCTGTTTTGATTTTATATACTGTTTTGTTTGTTTGTTTGTTAATTAGTTTGTTTGTTTGTTTGCTTGTTTTAATCAATTTTAAATCATGCTTTTATTTGTTTTTGTTTCTAATGTCTCTGTAAAGCACTTTGAATCACCTTGTTGTTGAATTGTGCTATACAAATAAACTTGCCTTGCTCTACCTGCTGATCCACAGCCATCCCGATAAATTATCAGCACAATAAGTAACAATATAAAACTTAACAGTCACAAGAAACTACAACATTGAGAGGAAACTGCTGTTAAAGTAATACCTCAGTGAGAGACACTGTATATTGTCATTTATGGCCCGATACTTAAGCAAGACCTCTGTTGCAGCTCCTTTGTTTGTTTGTTTTGTCCTCCAGCTGCTAGGATAAATGCACTTCTGAGCACAGGATGGTCGCACATGTCTGCAAAAGGCTGCAAGCCATGCTTTCAGCAGGGATGTATCCCCCTTCATGGTTTCTCAGCTTCATCTTCATCAAGTAAAATAAGGAAGCCTGACAGAAAGCACTGTAACAGTCAGTCTTTACAGGAAGAAGTTGTAAATGATAGGGGGAAAATTAGTTATTTAAATTCTTTAACAGAGTTTGGAATATAAAAATCAGTTATTCACAGAAGGAAGGGCTTTTGGAAGTGTTTTTCGAAAAGCCGTGAATGCTTAGGGTACACAGCCTAAGAAATACGAGTTATCTGACTGACACACACACACACACACACACACACAATATAACTTGTACGCTACTTGAATGGAAATCTCACTTGTAGAGAAGAATATCAGCAGCCTGGAGGACGGGATATGTGTAGAGACCAACGCTACCTTCGTTCTTCACTTTGCTCTTCATCTGGAGGAAAAGACAGGGAAGGAAGTTGAAGCAGAAAAAGAACAACGATGAGGAAGAAACACTAAAAGCAACCAGAAATAGAGCCAGACAGGAGAAAGATGGACTCAAGCTGACTTTTTTCCTTTTCTCCATAAAGAGCCATTTTCACTTTCATGACTCATCGACTGAAACAAACGAGGTACGGATGAGTTTGCGCGGCATTTTCCACCATTTTTGAAATCAACTCATCTGTTGGGTAAACGAAAGGTGTTTTCTAAAGAGCAACAGAAACAAGAACAGAGAGACGTGAGCTCTGTTGGTCCTCGCTCGTCGTGCATTAAAACTGCACCCAGGTGTGGAGAAAAATTATATGAATTAAAAATGCAACAAATGCTGCAGAGAAACAAAATAAAAACGCACAGACATGATGAAACTTAAGAGAAAACAGAGGAATTAATTTAATTTCTAAGTGTTCCACTGAAAGTAAGAACTGATATGGTGGGATTCATGTTTGAAATATTACTTCAGTTACAAAAATCTGGATTTTTTTTTTTGTGCTGAAGTTGAGTCACAATTTTGAGTAGATTTACATTTATTGTCAATTAAATTCAAATTTTTCCATTGCATCTACTTGCAGTCTATAAGAGTACAACAATTTAAAGCATTTAGTCACTCAATGTTACATGCATTTCCTCCGAATGCCAGGAAGTGATTTATAAAACACTCACAATCTGTAACATCCAGAAACAGTAGCAGCAAACTGGGGACATAATGAAAAACTTTCAATGCGTGCTACATAAAGCTTTTTAACTTTTGCATTGAACAGCACAGGAAATTACAACACCAAGAAAAGGTTCATTTAAAAAATAAAATGTTTTTTATTGGTGAATAAACATTTTTTTATTCCAGTTTCACATGAACTGAAGAAAAAATAAAGGATCTATTTCTACATGGTAATTATTTAAGACTCTCTGCATTATGTGTAATAACATAGTTATAACACACTAACAAATGTAGCCATGAGGGCAAATAGCTATAACATTACAAACTCCTTTTGCAGCTTTTATAATTATAACTGTGTTTTTTGTTTTTATTTATCATTATTAATTAACTGAAAATACGCCCTTGCAAATAAACCATTTTTGCTTTAAAAGATATTGTAGATATTGTATAAATATATACAGAAGTTATATCTCCGAGTCATCGCTTTGCCAGAAACTTCCAGTTTGTATTAGTGTATGTGGGTGCCTGTATGTCCTTTACATGCTGGCTGTGCATAGCTCCTGAGTCTCTAAAATCACACTGACCAGGTTACAACTCTGGCTCTCCGTCTGTCACTGATGTGTAAAGAGCTGCAGATGTTTGTCTGTTTGACCGATAGCAGTGCTAGCACACACACCCACACGCAGAGAGCAGAGAGGCCATGCAAAATCCAACCGAGAAGCCCTTTTCCTGCATTGTGCGGGGGTGTGGTTGCGTTTAATTGTGTTCAGAAGCGTAGCATGAAACTATCAGAAAATGTTTTATTATTTTCTTCTCACCGACGCTCTTCTGTCATTGTTCACAAGCTCGCCCGACCACCGCGGCACTTGCTCCTTCTCAGCCGTTCAACATTTAAATGTTTGAATGAATTGCTTTAAATTTTGACAGATGCTCGTAGTGACTTGTAAAGCATTACTGCATTTTTAACAGGCCACATTTAAATAAATCAATTCAGTTTGCACAGTAAAAGACAAAAGAGACAAGATTATGAAAACATATAAAAATATGACGCATCATAAATATTACTCAGTCCTTAAACAACAATGACATGAATGTCTCATAGTAACAACTTTTCTCTAAAGGTTCCAATAGGCTAACTGGTTAATTGCATTTGCATTGTATTTTATTATTTTTTTAATCATTCTGAATGTTTTAGGAAATTTTGTTGATTGTGGATACATGCAAGCCATCTTTAACATGTAGCTGACCCATTTGCCATATACTTACATATACATACTAAGCAACCACAATGGGGAGGAAGAACTCCCTTTTAACAGGAAGACCATTTAAGAAGGCCCAGGCTCAGAGAAGTACAGATGGGTAGAGAAGGATACATATACAAGTATATTTACCAGCAAGTGATGCGGTTTGGTTTCAGACATAGTTTTCTTTACTCATGTCCACATGCTGGTGCTGCATGAGTGAAATCTGCACCACAGTAATTCTTTTAATTATAATTGTTATTTTAAAATGAGCACTGATACAAACAACAAAAATAAAGACTTGCGCGTGATCATTTTATACACAAGTGTCTGCTGGAGAAGATCTCACCTTCCACTGTGGTAGGTGGCGGAGCCGAGGCATACTGGTGAGACAGCCGAGGATCCAGGAGAGCTCAGCATGCTCGGACACCTGCAGTGACGAGCGGGGACACATCCAAATGTCAGCATACACCTTTCAATCTATCACCAGGCTGCAATATTAATAATATTACAACTACAGATTAATATGGCTGAATCACAAATATCTACGAACTTGTTGGCTCACCAGTCGGTACCTTATAAGCTGAAGTCATGAAGAGATTTCTTTACACGAAGTCTAACAGAAACCAACACTGTTTGTTACATGTGTACAAGAGCCAACCTCCTGCTGCTGTATACATGCAAACTCCCAAGCACGTTGAACTCACTGCACCGCTTAGTCCAGTTAATTAAAGAAGAGAGCCTAACCTCAGGGAGGCACCAAAGAGATAAACAGAAGAAATAAATTACGCAGGCAGATTAAACAAACACAGACGGATGGATAAAAAGTCATCCACGGGACAGCTGGGGTGGAGGAAAAGGAGGGTAACTCCCTGGCGCCTCTAAGTGGAAGAGAAGAATACTGCCTTTTTACACCTCTGCCTGTCACACAGGTGCGCCCACTCTCACCTGTAGGCTTACACTCATTGTATCAGTTTTTTTAATGTGTTTAATAAGTGGGATACTAACAAATAAATACTGGCAGACTAAAAGCTGACCCAGCCTAAACTTCATACACCGATGCTGGATTTCTATACCTTTATCGATCATTTATTTTAATAATCCTGGCAGCAAATTAGCTATTGGGAAAAGAACTTTGTATATATGGAAAGTAGCGCCCTCTCAGAAGCTCATAACTGAAATCTTTTAATTCAAAATCTATCAAAGCTGCCGTAGGGGCAGAGGCAGGGTACACCCTGCACAGCTCGCCAGGCTAACACATACACACAGACAACCGTTCACTCTCAGTGGAGGTGGGTTGGTTATTCAATTAGAGGATTAAGGAAATGGTTTTTACATGTGGACAAATAAACCACAACACAAAGAGGTGAATGTTAATGCAGTGTAGCTGATGCATCTGGTAGCAGTAAATTAACCCGATGTGAAAAAAAAAAAAAAAGCTTCTGTGTCTAACAGCCAGTGTTTGGGGATGCAGGAAATATCCTTGTGCTTCAGCAAATTAAAGTTTATGGACGCTGACTATATTGCCATCCTCTCTGTCTCTTGCAGCTTGAAAAGCATTCTGGGGAGCATGATGTCAACAGCAGACAGCAGGGACATAAAGCAGGATTTCAGGCTAGCATGTAGGGGGCCGGTATGCATTACACACTGCAGACAGGCAAGAGATGGGACAGATGTCGATGACAACAAAGAGAGGGCAAGGATATGGTTTGAACAGTGCAATAAAACGCTGATATTTAAAAGGCTTAGTAAAAACACAGCCTCCATTCATGCTGTATCGTAAGAAAGCCCCGCAACGAGAGATATGCTAATGTTACGGATCATATCAGCATTAGACTGACAGTAACAGCCATGGCAGCAGCTCCTAAGGCTGCAAAGAAGGGATTTTAGAGAACAGCTAACAGTTGTCCCAACACAGTAAATCCACTTTTCTGGTCAATACTTATAAAACTCAGTGGTATTAAAAAATGAAGTCAATGAATCAGCAGATCCGCAAATCCTCCGAGTTTAGCTCGTCACCAACTCTTTGCATTTTTTCAATTAAGCCCAGTATTTTCTTTGGGCGGCCATCGTATTTTTACATGTGGAGCGGGCGTGTTCAACACGGGGGTCGCCTTGCTGCCAAGTTATGTGGCATGAAGCTAAACAAGAATAAAAATAGGACTGTGTTTGTGTGTGTGTGAGGAGTGGGTGGCAAAGAAACACAGATGGACTGAACTATCCACACATACACACACACCCACCCAACTTAACTTGTGAGTAAGAAAAGAAAAATACACATGTGGTGTCAGGGGAGAAGCAAACAGCTGTTCTGATTTCTCTCTCTCCATCGTCAGTGTGAGCTCAAGCCTAAATTCGGGGATGATGTGCTGAAGTGCTGCAAATGTTAAGACTTGTCGTTATCCTTCTCAGTTTCTTTCACGTGGGCTAAAGAAGGACTTAACGGTGGTTTGTGTCAGTTTGTGTTTTTACAGGCTCTGTGAATTGGCTGAGCACACATTGGAGATAAGAATCAGGAGCAAGGAAATAAACATTTTGGGGTCTGTCAGCATGTAGGAAGGTAAATATGAGAGTCGACATCACGAAAATAAACCGTTTTTCTTCTTTGAAAAACCAGCAATGAGAGAAGAAGCTGCCCAGCTTTAAAAAAACAACAACAAAAAAGACAAAAAAAGGGCACTTCTTTTCTTAAACAAACACTGATGTGCTCTCTACTTGATAACCACATGAAATGTGAAAAATAATCTGCAGACATGAGTGTGAAATCTAAATTATATATACATGCAAAGCGCATGTTGGGTTGCATTACTTATCACATATAAATAGTACTTTCTCCACCTGTGAGTATTCATTTATAGACAGAAGTGTATATGCATCCAACACACTATGTAGGGAACTACACAGCAAAGATAACACATCATATATATTTATAAACGGCATCAATCAAACATGCCCAACTCACCTGAGACTGCTGGAAGAGTATCGCTTTCTCTGGGTTGATACCGCAGGCCAACAAGCTGGCTGCCATGTCCAGTATGTTACTCTTGAGCTGTGTTGGATCCTGGGGCTGGGTGATGGAGTGCAGATCCACAATGCTGTAGAGGACTGAGGGGTACTGGTCCTGCAGGGACACCCAGTTCTCCAGAGCACCCAGGTAATTTCCCAGGTGGGGCACTCCAGTAGGCTGAATCCCTGAGAATACACGGCCACTTCTTGGAGCCTCCTGGGAAAAAGAAGAAGGAATTTGCTCGGGTTGGCTCTATAGCACTTTGGATTTGATAGTGAAATAACATCACGGAAATGTAATTACAAATGGTGTCATGTATAATCACATGAGCGATCAAAGATGTTCCACTGTCTTCATCACACCTCTGAACACTAGTCTCTCTTATTTTAGTTTCGCCAAATCACAACAACAGTGGCCGCAAGGTGCAAAAAACCTCAACAATCAGACGACCACCTATGAGCAAGTACTTGGTGACAATGGGAAGGAAAAACTCCCTTATTGCAGGAAGTAATCTCCGGCAGAACCAGGCTCAGGGGGAGGCTGAGACCAGTGAGGGGTGAGGGGAAAGAAATAGAGCCAGAAATATCAGAAATATCATCCCTTTTTAGCACATTAACTTCTGTTCTTAAAACAGTGCCTATAACACCAATGTCTCCAGATTAGCGCAACAATGGTTGGTTGACTTTAAAAGTCAAAGCTAAGGCCAAGACAAAAGATCCTTGAAAAGGGAGAAAGTTACCACTAGAAAGAAGCCTGTAGAGACCAAAGTGTCAGTTGGCAGGTTGGGGACCATTAGCAGTCATGCTTGTATTACTAAGATGCTAACTCCATGGCTAGCACCTCTGTTCTCTCCCAAACACATCCAGCACAAAGAATGCATCACCTCATTGGCCAACAATATCACTTACAACCATCCAACCAGCTTCAAAGCCTTTCATTACCATAACAGAAAGCTGCACAAAAAGAGGGGGATAAAAAAAACCAAACAGCATAAATACATCACATATAACAACAGCAGCCCACCATAGAGTAAGGGTTTTTTCTATAATTAAAACAAGGACCTTATTTTAGAGACAGCAGCAGGGTCTCAACACTCACCAATTGAAACAGGGAGATCAGTATTTGTGGTTGTACCACTGGACTAAAACTATATTTCTCTTCCTGCAGAGTCTGACTGGGGCCAAACACCTCATTTCTCCTGGCATCAGTCGGCTTCACTGAACCTTGGCTTTCAATTAGCCTTGCTAGGCAAGAGTCTTAACCTCTGCTTGTGCCACCACACGATACAATTAGAGGGCAAGCAGAGTGGCACCTGTTATGACACATGAAACCACGCTGGCATCCAAAACTAGGGCTTTTTGACCAAAGCCGTTACACAGTAGATTAGGGCTTCAACAGAGCAGAAAGACACATGAACACAGACTGGAACTGTTTTTGTTGGTCTGGCAGAAAGACAAAATCTTTGGCGCTTTGGTAATACACATAACAGCCCACAGTGGAGACAAGGATTCAGTTCCCGGCAGAAGTGGCTTGGATGAATGCTCAAGGTAGATAAAAAGAACCACCGCATGCCTGAGGACTAGACCTTTGAGGTCTGCAGGATGACTGCGTGGCCAGAAACACCTGCCAATTGCCTGCTTTAGAAAAAAAGGAAGGTTCATGGGCTGCATTGTTACAGGTGTGTTATTACCTGTGTACCAAAATACAATGGAATGCAAATCTGGAAGTCTAGTTTTAAATAACTACATGGATCCATGAATTTAATCTACAGGACTTTACACAAGGTGATGTGTATGGCTCAAGCACCTCAATCCACCAATAGTAGGTAACTGTAAGCTAGTAACAGTACCACTGCAATATATTAGGAATGTGTGTTTAATGAACAGTCTGTGCATTACAGTTGCTAGATGATCTCTAATTGTTTAACTGTTAATGCCTGAAGAACCTGCATTGTTTTTGTTGTAGGATCCCCCCACTATACCAACACATAGGGGTCTTATTGGATGGAAAGTGGAGGCTGTACTTCTGTGTTCAGGATAAAAATTGTCCTACAAATATGCTCTGAATATGCTGGCAAGAAGCAAAGGAAGAGATTCAGCGGCAGACAAATCAATCTTACCACAAGATCCATTTAGAAGGTGCTATAGTTTTCAGTACTGGACCGCGGATTAGATTCTCCCCACTTATTACTACCTCCGTATGCTCCAAGTTATGTCTATCCAAAACCTCTGAAAATGAAACTTGTGCTAAACTGTCAGATTTTATGTAATAACCTCGCAGTCGTTTTCAAAGAAAATATGTTAAGCTTTATATGAGATAGCACTGATGGGTTGTAAACAGCAACACCTGGACGTTTGACTGAAGAGCCCATTTTAAAACTCCCCCCAACCCCACAAAGCCCACAGGATCTCCGCGTTATCGCCTCAAAATCTGACTGGCGATCATATGTTCCCCAGCTGCACTTTTCAAGGTTATTATAACTAATCATTAAAACCTGAAGTTTTCAGAGGATATCCTCTTCAGTCACCGCTCAGAAATCAGTTATCTTGACAGCTTGCTGAACTAAATCACATTCAATCTGACTGAGGGACAGGCTCACCACAGCATCTGAGATCAGATAACAGTTGCTCTCTCACCGGCGTAGCCCAGAGGTTCTACATCTTTAAACCCTGAGGGATCGAATAACAACTGCTGGGAGGCCAGCGTTGGTCCACAAAGTCTCCATCTACTGGCCTGAGGGAGCAGCTTTCCACCCAGCGAGAGAGAGGCAGGAAGGAACTGGGTGCTTATGTCATTACCGACAGGGTAATTGCGCTGGAGTGCCATTGATGCTGAGAGCCTCTTAAGAGGTGTCAGGATTGATTTGGGTGCGGACGGGACCCAGAGTCTGGCTCATGTGTGTTCTCACCTCGAGCTGACATGCCAAACGCATGTTCCCCCCCCTTCTGCTCCGGCCCCCAGGGGAGGCCATTAGCCATGCAGACATGGTAATGGTGTCATTTGAGCCAATCGAGTGTCAAATGAGAGTCAACGCCACAGCTAACTAGCCACTGGGCAATCGTGGGCTATCGCGCTTTAAGCCACTTCGCCAGACACCTCTATGTTACTTTTGGTCTGAGGAAAGTGTCTTTAAACACATGCCACTATAGCTCTTGGAGGAGAAAGTAACCTACGCAAGTAAGTAAATCAACTAGAGCACGATGACAGAGGCGACAGCAAACGCTGTAAAGCAATTAATGTTTGTAATGAATACTGCGCTGCAAAGCCAACAGTAATAAAATATTATCAACAAGCACACTTTTGCCACGCACGATATTAAATTCAATAACTTGTGAAATACTTGTATAGTGCTTGACCTTACATCTTTAAATGACTCCCAGTGGTATGTTAGACAATTTCCAGTAAGATAAATCAGATATATTTCTTACTCTAAACCAGATTTAAACATGTTAATAAAGACCTGAAACCATCATAAAACAGTGCTAAAGTTTGGCCATTTACAAATTGCTAGAAATCACAAGTTATTCTATTTTACAATATCACCTCTGCCACAGAGCTTATGTGTTTCATAGCATTTACCAGCATGTATTTGTCTGTAATCACAGTGGCTCAAAAAGTTTTGAATGAATTATGATAAAACTTTGTAGGGGTGTAGAGTGGGATCGTGTTTACAATCTTACATCCACCAAAGGCCTTCAAGGTCAGTTTAATATTTTACTGGTGTAAACTGGAAAAAGCCTTAAAACTCAGAAACTATGATTCTTACAATATGATGTCACATTTTACCCCTCCAACAAAGTCAATAGATTGATCTGAAGCTCATTCAGTTCAGTTCTATTTATACAGCGCCAAATCACAACAACAGTCACCTCAAGGCACTTTATAGCGTAAGGTGGACCCTACAATGATACATACCCACCTCATGAGAATATGATTCTTATGATTGTAATAATAATATACATTTTGTTATGTACATTACAGTAACAGGTCTTAATCACTTAAATACACAACAATTTGAATACATATGCAATGTGCCTTCCCTTAATAATTTTTTAATTAAATGAAACTTGTGATCAAACCCTTTTTTTTTTAAACTTATTCACATATTTATTATTAAATAATTCAAGGAACTGCACTAAACACTGAAAATAGATACACGTACTATATCTACAAAGATAAAAATTATAAAAAATATATATATTTATATTCAAAATTGTGCATGTTAAAATATATTTCAACAGGGAAAATAATAAAAGCTGCAATTTGCAATTGTTGCAAATTGTTAAATGTACTTTGCAATTCAAAGTACATTTAAAAGACCAGAGAGCGAGCTGCCTTGGCAGAGGTTTTGCAGTCTTGAGGTGCTTCTTGTTGTGGTCTTTGATCATTTCTTTCTGAGGGAAATAATATTTTGGACCAAATGTTGTGTTTATTCCTTTATTTGAAAATGGAACAGACACTCTCTGTGGGTTGAAATATTCCAAAAACTAAACTAAACTAAAAAAAACAAAACACTTTCAGCCACCAAAGTGAAGGAACTCTGGCCAGCTGGCCTTACAACACTGCCGTCCCTGGAGTATGACAGATGGTGTCTGGCTCACATATTGTCAATTCAAGAAAAAACAAAAATCAAAAAGAAAAATAATTGAGACAAAAGCCTGAGTAACAGCAGACGTTAATTCTTAGTTAACAAATGAAACACTTCCTTCTTGTCCAGTTGCTGTTTTATACAAGCAAACCTCTGTTGAGCAGTGTTATCTGTCTTCTTCTGTCTCCTTCTGCCTCATTCTCATAGTTGCTGGATACCTGCTGATGACACTGAGCAGACACGGAAAACGCTGGCCATTCTCGTCTCATATTTTTACACCGACAGGAGCGCGGTGCTTTCAAACCGCACCGTCGCAAAGGCGACGAAAGCTTTCTTCATCCACGTCTGCCATATGCTAAATGCATTACGCACCATGTGTGTGTGACATTAACGCCAACAGCTAGAAGGTTACATACACTAAAAAGGCCATGCTTTCACACTTGCACTACCTTTCCGGGAATGTGTGTTCATTTGTCCGCGTGTGTGGTATTATCCGTAGGGATAGCGATCATGTGCAAACAGACATATGTCCACACGTGTAGTCTATGCCTACATCAACATCAGTGAAGCTGTGAAGGTGTCTGTCCATGTGAATTTGACAGCTCACATCAAGTGGAAAGAACACTAT